CAGGAACCAGTGGTCCATGCAAGGCAGGAATCAGTGGTCCATGCATGGCAGGAACCAGTGGTCCATGCAAGGCAGGAACCAGTGGTCCATGCAAGGCAGGAACCAGTGGTCCATGCAAGGCAGGAAACCAGTGGTCCATGCAAGGCAGGAACCAGTGGTCCATGCAAGGCGGGAAACCCAGTGGTCCATGCAAGGCAGGAACCAGTGGTCCATGCAAGGCAGGAACCAGTGGTCCATGCAAGGCAGGAACCAGTGGTCCATGCAAGGCAGGAACCAGTGGTCCATGCAAGGCAGGAACCGTGGTCCATGCAAGGCAGGAGCCAGTGGTCCATGCAAGCAGGGAACCAGTGGTCCATGCAGGCAGGAACCAGTGGTCCATGCAAGGCAGGAGCCAGTGGTCCATGCAAGGCAGGAGCCAGTGGTCCATGAAAAGGCAGGAACCAGTGGTCCATGCAAGGCAGGAACCAGTGGCCCATGCAAGGCAGGAACCAGTGGTCCATGCAAGGTAGGAACCAGTGGTCCATGCAAGGCAGGAACCAGTGGTCCATGCAAGGCAGGAACCAGTGGTCCATGCAAGGCAGGAACCAGTGGTCCATGCAAGGCAGGAACCAGTGGTCCATGCAAGGCAGGAACCAGTGGTCCATGCAAGGCAGGAACCAGTGGTCCATGCAAGGCAGGAACCAGTGGTCCATGCAAGGCAGGAACCAGTGGTCCATGCAAGGCAGGAACCAGTGGTCCATGCAAGGCAGGAACCAGTGGTCCATGCAAGGCAGGAACCAGTGGTCCATGCAAGGCAGGAGCCAGTGGTCCATGCAAAGGCAGGAACCAGTGGTCCATGCAAGGCAGGAACCAGTGGTCCATGCAAGGCAGGAACCAGTGGGTCCATGCAAGGCAGGAACCAGTGGTCCATGCAAGGCGGGAAAACCAGTGGTCCATGCAAGGCAGGAACCAGTGGTCCATGCAAGCCAGGAACCAGTGGTCCATGCAAGGCAGGAACCAGTGGTCCATGCAAGGCAGGAAACCAGTGGTCCATGCAAGGCAGGAACAGTGGTCCATGCAAGGCAGGAACCAGTGGTCCATGCAAGGCAGGAACCAGTGGTCCATGCAAGGCAGGAACCAGTGGTCCATGCAAGGCAGGAACCAGTGGTCCATGCAAGGCAGGAACCAGTGGTCCATGCAAGGCAGGAACCAGTGGTCCATGCAAGGCAGGAACCAGTGGTCCATGCAAGGCAGGAACCAGTGGTCCATGCAAGGCAGGAACCAGTGGTCCATGCAAAGCAGGAACCAGTGGTCCATGCAAAGCAGGAACCAGTGGTCCATGCAAGGCAGGAACCAGTGGTCCATGCAAGGCAGGAACCAGTGGTCCATGCAAGGCAGGAACCGGTGGTCCATGCAAGGCAGGAACCGGTGGTCCATGCAAGGCAGGAACCGGTGGTCCATGCAAGGCAGGAACCGGTGGTCCATGCAAGGCAGGAACCGGTGGTCCATGCAAGGCAGGAGCCAGTGGTTCATGCAAGGCAGGAACCAGTGGTCCATGCAAGGCAGGAATCAGTGGTAAATGCAAGGCAGGAGCCATTGGTCCAAGTAAGGCAGGAGCCAGTGGTCCATGCAAGGCAGGAACCAGTGGTCCATGCAAGGCAGGAACCAGTGGTCCATGCAAGGCAGAAACCAGTGGTCCATGCAAGGCAGGGACCAGTGGTCCATGCAAGGCAGGAACCAGTGGTCCATTGCAAGGCAGGAGCCAGTGGTCCATGCAAGGCAGGAACCAGTGGTCCATGCAAGGCAGGAGCCAGTGGTCCATGCAAGGCAGGAACCAGTGGTCCATGCAAGGCAGGAACCAGTGGTCCATGCAAGGCAGGAACAGTGGTCCATGCAAGACAGGAACCAGTGGTCCATGCAAGGCAGGAACCAGTGGTCCATGCAAGGCAGGAACCAGTGGTCCATGCAAGGCAGGAACCAGTGGTCCATGCAAGGCAGGAACCAGTGGTCCATGCAAGGCAGGAGCCAGTGGTCCATGCAAGGCAGGAACCAGTGGTCCATGCAAGGCAGGAATCAGTGGTCCATGCAAGGCAGGAGCCAGTGGTCCAAGTAAGGCAGGAGCCAGTGGTCCATGCAAGGCAGGAACCAGTGGTCCATGCAAGGCAGGAACCAGTGGCCCATGCAAGGCAGAAACCAGTGGTCCATGCAAGGCAGGGACCAGTGGTCCATGCAAGGCAGGAACCAGTGGTCCATGCAAGGCAGGAACCAGTGGTACATGCAAGGCAGGAGCCAGTGGTCCATGAAAGGCAGGAACCAGTGGTCCATGCAAGGCAGGAGGCAGTGGTCCATGCAAGGCAGGAACCAGTGGTCCATGCAAGGCAGGAGCCAGTGGTCCATGCAAGGCAGGAGCCAGTGGGCCATGCAAGGCAGGAACCAGTGGTCCATGCAAGGCAGGAACCAGTGGTCCATGCAAGGCAGGAGCCAGTGGTCCATGCAAGGCAGGAACCAGTGGTCCATGCAAGGCAGGAACCAGTGGTCCATGCAAGGCAGGAACCAGTGGTCCATGCAAGGCAGGAACCAGTGGTCCATGCAAGGCAGGAACCAGTGGCCCATGCAAGGCAGGAAACCAGTGGTCCATGCAAGGCAGGGACCAGTGGTCCATGCAAGGCAGGAACCAGTGGTCCATGCAAGGCAGGAGCCAGTGGTCCATGCAAGGCAGGAGCCAGTGGGCCATGCAAGGCAGGAACCAGTGGTCCATGCAAGGCAGGAACCAGTGGTCCATGCAAGGCAGGAACCAGTGGTCCATGCAAGGCAGGAGCCAGTGGTCCATGCAAGGCAGGAGCCAGTGGGCCATGCAAGGCAGGAACCAGTGGTCCATGCAAGGCAGGAACCAGTGGTCCATGCAAGGCAGGACCCAGTGGTCCATGCAAGGCAGGAACCAGTGGTCCATGCAAGGCAGGAACCAGTGGTCCATGCAAGGCAGGAACCAGTGGTCCATGCAAGGCAGGAACCAGTGGTCCATGCAAGGCAGGAACCAGTGGTCCATGCAAGGCAGGAACAGTGGTCCATGCAAGGCAGGAACCAGTGGTCCATGCAAAGCAGGAACCAGTGGTCCATGCAAGGCAGGAACCAGTGGTCCATGCAAGGCAGGAACCAGTGGTACATGCAAGGCAGGAACCGGTGGTCCATGCAAGGCAGGAACCGGTGGTCCATGCAAGGCGGGAAAACCGGTGGTCCATGCAAGGCAGGAACCGGTGGTCCATGCAAGGCAGGAGCCAGTGGTCCATGCAAGGCAGGAACCAGTGGTCCAAATGCAAGGCAGGAGCCAGTGGTCCATGCAAGGCAGGAGCCAGTGGGCCATGCAAGGCAGGAACCAGTGGTCCATGCAAGGCAGGAACCAGTGGTCCATGCAAGGCAGGAGCCAGTGGTCCATGCAAGGCAGGAACCAGTGGTCCATGCAAGGCAGGAACCAGTGGTCCATGCAAGGCAGGAACCAGTGGTCCATGCAAGGCAGGAACCAGTGGTCCATGCAAGGCAGGAACCAGTGGTCCATGCAAGGCAGGAACCAGTGGTCCATGCAAGGCAGGAACCAGTGGTCCATGCAAGCAGGAACCAGTGGTCCATGCAAGGCAGGAACCAGTGGTCCATGCAAGGCAGGAACCAGTGGTCCATGCAAGGCAGGAACCGGTGGTCCATGCAAGGCAGGAACCGGTGGTCCATGCAAAACAGGAACCGGTGGTCCATGCAAGGCAGGAACCGGTGGTCCATGCAAGGCAGGAACCGGTGGTCCATGCAAGGCAGGAACCGGTGGTCCATGCAAGGCAGGAACCGGTGGTCCATGCAAGGCAGGAACCGGTGGTCCATGCAAGGCAGGAACCGGTGATCTATGCAAGGCAGGAACCAGTGGTCCATGCAAGGCAGGAACCGGTGGTCCATGCAAGGCAGGAACCAGTGGTCCATGCAAGGCAGGAACCAGTGGTCCATGCAAGGCAGGAACCAGTGGTCCATGCAAAGCAGGAACCGGTGGTCCATGCAAAGCAGGAACCGGTGGTCCATGCAAGACAGGAACCGGTGGTCCATGCAAGGCAGGAACCAGTGGTCCATGCAAGGCAGGAACCAGTGGTCCATGCAAGGCAGGAACCAGTGGTCCATACAAGGTAGGAACCAGTGGTCCATGCAAGGCAGGAGCCAGTGGTCCATACAAGGTAGGAACCAGTGGTCTATGAAAAGACATGAACCGGTGGTCCATGCAAAGGCAGGAACCAGTGGTCCATACAAGGTAGGAACCACTGGTCCATACAAGGTAGGAACCAGTGGTCCATGCAAGGCAGGAACCAGTGGTCCATGCAAGGCAGGAATCAGTGGCCCATGCATGGAGGAACCAGTGGTCCATGCAAGGCAGGAACCAGTGGTCCATGCAAGGCAGGAACCAGTGGTCCATGCAAGGCAGGAACCAGTGGTCCATGCAAGGCAGGAACCAGTGGTCCATGCAAGGCAGGAACCAGTGGTCCATGCAAGGCAGGAACCAGTGGTCCATGCAAGGCAGGAACCAGTGGTACATGCAAGGCAGGAGCCAGTGGTCCATGTAAGGCAGGAGCCAGTGGTCCATGCAAGGCAGGAACCAGTGGTCCATGCAAGGCAGGAACCACTGGTCCATACAAGGTAGGAACCAGTGGTCCATACAAGGTAGGAACTACTGGTCCATACAAGACAGGACTGTTAAGTTGAGGTTTACATAGTTCATTCCTCTCAGTTCCGGTACAGTTATCGTTGTAACTCATGCTAGTGGCTTTTGTTATTAAAGTCGCTAGTTTTGCAAGTGTCGCTGAAGTTAAATGGGTGTATTATGTACGCCTGGTGGTATGCTTGTTGAGATGCTTATCCAACAGATCGTGTTATTTTATTGTGTCTGCAGAATTTCTCCTTCCAGATCATATTTCGTGTCCGGATTCTAATCTTTGAAACTTACCAAGATTTAATTCTAATAGTAATGTTCCCGACTATGCTTGCTGCCAGTTTACCTTTCAGCTTCTCCCTGTTTAGTTTGGAAACAGCGATACGTAGCGTTCAATTTCCTCGTACCTGTGACACACCTGTGGCCATTTCCAAGAGTTCTTCTACATTCGTAGCCCGCCTTGAGGTCAAACTTCCTTGTTGACTGCTTCATCAACCAGACTGTTGCGGTTGGCAACAGAGGTAGTGGTCCAGTCTCCTCTTGAAAAAGTATTTGCTTATTTCAGCAATATTTTTATCTGCTGGCAGCAGGTTGAGGAGTCTTGAGTCACTGATGATGTAGAAGGAAAGTGTTCATGAAATATTTTTGATGTAAGCTGGTAGTTGAATAATCGTGGATGAGGATGTTGACACAACGTTCTTAATTGTGCCTATGTCTTTCCTGCTTTTTCACTGGGTTTACAAGCATTGTACAATTTCCCCCATATCTCTAAATTCAGCTATTGTAGAGTGCAGTACGGACCTGATCCTCAAGCATTTCCTGTATACATATTATAAGGTATTCGTCTCTTCTCTCTACTCCAGAGAGAACCAAGTGTTCCCATTAACTTAGACGTTTTACTGATGCTTACATGCAGGCAATAAGCGACCTCTATATGTTCCAGCTCTAATAACTCTCTTACCTTGAAAGGGAGCTGTACCTTTACCTTTTGAAGAGTTTCACTATTGGAACCCTGCCATGGTCCAGGCTTGTCTGGTTCTTGCCTGGTCAATCAGGCTGTTGCTGCTGGAAGCCCGCTGCCCCACATAACCATCACAGCCTGGTTGATATGGCACCTGGTGAAGATGCATGTCCAGTTTCCTCTTGAAGGTTTTTACACATGTTCCGTCCGTGTTTCTGAGATCTTCTGGTAAGATGTTGAATAGTCTGGGACCCCGGATGTTGATACAGTGTTCCCTTATTGTCCCCACCGCACCCCTGCTCCTCATTGGGTTTATTTTGCACTTCCTCCCATATTTCTCACTCCAGTATGTTGTTATGGCAGTGTGCAGATTTGGGACCAAGCCCTCGAGTACTTTCCAGGTATATATTATCCTGTATCTCTCTCTCCTCAGCTCCAATGACTACATGTTCAAGACTTAAGGCCGTAAACGATCTCTGTATTTGTTCCAGCTCTGATATTTCTCCTGCTTTGAATGGGGGGGGGGGACACATAATCGCAACGTGAGCATCATTGGTGTGTAATAAGAATAACAGAGTTCCAATTACTGATCCTTGAGGGACTCGAATCCTCACTCTTGCCCACTCTCATAACTTCTTTCTCAGAATTATTTTCTAAATTGTGTTCACCAGGAAGTCTTGTAGATGCTTAACATTCTTAGTTATTTTTGTTAATGGTTAGGGACGCAGCAATTAGATACTTTAGTGTTATTTATAAATTTTGTGTAAGTGAGGATATAGGGATAGTGTAGCAACATTATTTTGACTCGGTGTAGCTATGGCCATCAAAAGGTAGATATATAACAGTCCTCGCTCTCAGTTGGGCACTATTATATCTGCCAGGAATTAAGATGAGAGGATATGTGAGAGCCCTGGAGATTTAAAAAACAAATGGTAGGTATACCTTTGAAACCTTTCGCAAGTTTTGCTACTCTTGCAGGTCAGGCTGAACAAATGATAAACAGTTTAGAGTATTACTCAAGTTTCAGGCACAGAATTTGGTATGTTATGAGTACAGTGGTGTTCGGCAGGGGGGGGGAGGTTATATTGACTCTTACCTTGGGTGTCTATATGTTGTGGAAAAGAGTATGGCTTACAAGTGGGATTATTATATATGATTATATTTTAAAAAGTGGTTAGATTGTTATATTTTGTGATGTCTGGTTTTTTGATAATGTAGACGAAGTAATAACGAAAAATATAACTTGGGGTAACTCACTGTGCCTAATAACTGTTATATAATGTAATTTTTCAGGGATTATAACTGAATGTATGCTTATTATTTTACACAGTTAATTTGTATAAACATTCCAAAATATTCCCTCTTTCCACTTCACATATGCACAAACTGGTGGCATCTGTCTTTATATTACCCTCATTAGTTGTATTCTCGCATGTCTAAAATACAATTGATGACAAATATTGTATACAAATAATTATAATTATGTATAATAATATTTAGATCGTCATGACATATTTCCCATATTCATTACATTTATAGAGGCTACACTTTCCTATACCTCAGTCATTATATCAACAGTTGAAGCTCATTTCCCCACTACTGCCACCGTTCCCACTGCAACTGTATGTAATAACACCAGAGATCCATTAAACGTAATATATCAGGGGCCCAGCAACCACATTGACCTCTCCATACGTCCACCAGCAACCACACTGACCTCACCATACCACCAGCAACCACACTGACCTCTCCATACCACCAGCAACCACACTGACCTCACCATACCTCCAGCAACCACACTGACCTCACCATACCACCAGCAACCACACTGACGTCTCCATACCTCCAAAAATACACGTACGCACACACGTCTCTATTTAACGAGAAAAACAACAGCCGAGAAACAATTGGTGTAGCTGCGACCTTCCTACCAGTGTGACCCCCACTAAGCAGTCCCAACCATACAAGCCAGCCCCACCCATGCCACCTACATCACCCATCCATGCCATCAATCCCACACACTGGCGTCACCAACGCTGTCTTCCTGTATCTTGCGTTATTCAAGCAAAGTGTGTACTGCGTGCACTACAAAAATAAAATCGGACCCAGAACAGTACAAAGGTAGACTGCACGTTTCTCGTGCAATATTTACATAAATGCACTCTTGTACTTGCATACATATGATTATATAGGACGAACAGGGGAGTAATAAACCAGATGTTGCAAATGTATGAAATAGGTGGCAGGTTACTTAAAGCAGGAAAGAGATTTTGTGTGAATAGCGCGGCGCAGGTTTAGGGTATGTAGGAGAGAGGAAGATTATTTTCCAGTAGAAGCAGACCTTAGGGATGTGATGTTACCATGAATGTTTAACATATTTATATTTTGGGTTGTAAAAGAAGTGAACGCTAGGGTGTTGGGAGAGGTGTGGGACTCAAAGTGAATCTGGTACGAAGTGGGAATTGTCACAGTTATTTTTTGCCGATGACGCGGTACTTTTGGAAGATTCTGAAGAGAAGTTGCAAGTGTTGGTTGACGAATTTGTATGTAAAAGACGGAAATGAAAAGTAAACATACGTATAAAAAAAGGTGGCGAGAATATATATATATTATATATATATTATATATATATATATATATATATATATATATATATATATATTATATATATATATATATATTATATATATATATATATATATATATATATATATATTATATATATATATTATAAATAATGAGAGACTGGATGTAATAGGGAGTATGGAGGAAGTAAATGTCTTAAGATATTTGGAAATAAAGAACAAAGAAGCACAATACCACGACTTGAACAATATATATATAACCCGCACATAGGAGAGAGAAGCTTACGACGTTTTGATCCGACTTGGACTACTGAGAGATGAAGTAAACCATAGAATTGAAGGGAAAAAGGTGAATGTTGAATTGAGACATCTGTGGGGCCTCTGTCTTACGTCTAGTTAAGAACCACTATATTAACTCGGGACCACTGTCTGTGGTCTTGTTCAGGTCCAGTACATTAACTCGAGATCAATAAGTTGCCAGCTGGATACATAATCTTTACCTTAGCATCCACATACAAGTGAACATGTTTTTTCGTGTACGAACTTTAACAATTCCACTTCCCCGACTACCTTCTTTTCAGTGGAGACATTGCATAAGCTATTATCCAAGCAGCTTGTTGCGCCATCTTCGTTACTTGCATATAAGAGGAAAATAACAACAATGAGCAAAGTGTGTTTCAACGCCAGCAGCAACATAGCAGCCTCAAATGCACCACCTCACGTAGAAGTGATTCAACTTGAGGTGGTAGTAAGGTGCAGTACTTGCCGGAGGTGCTTCATACAGCCTACAGCAACAATTTTCCCACCTCTCCACCAAGAAAACCTCTTGCATAACACCTCGACAACCTAACAGCCTCGACGAGTAATTACAGTGGCAATAAGTTCTCCAAGCGACCTCAAGCATGCTCCTGGCGTTCTCAACACGCCCCACAGACACTAACAAGCCTCCGTGTATTTATTCATTGCATCATCAACGCAGTATCAAGTACATACATAACAAAATCATAAAAAAAAACAATGTAATCGTCGCTAAAACGCCTCTAGCGACTCTGCGCTTGTATACAATTCACAATACCATTACTGAAACAATTCACAACGTAATAAAGGTCAAGGATGAATCTACAGGGATATTTTAATGCGATCCTTGTGTTGTAGAGCGACCGGTAGTTGCCTCTTAATGGCACACATGTGGCACTCTCCATAAAGCCCCTGCTTACACTAGCACGATCTCTTACACAGTGAGATCACAGTTAAAAACATTCATAAAATAAGTTACAAATCGAGCAAGATGTTACATTACATGCAGCTCCATCTAATTTACCATCACCTGGCGGTTACTGTATTTTTAATAATATTTTATGCAACTCTTATACATCCTTGGGTGTGGCGCTCACAAGATTTCAGAGTCCACTTACTTCATGAGGAACAAGGCCCCGCCATTCTTAAATGAAGTTGCAGTAGTGATAGTGTTTACCAGAGTAAAAAATACATTTACAGTTATAATGACTTCGTTACACAAATACTGATTTCACAGTCAATACAAAAAAAAAAAACATATTTCATATGTTAAGAGTCACTCTGTTCGAGCTAATATGCATATATTATGTGTAATATACCACAGCAAACACCGACACTAATATACCACCGTCTTAGAGGTCTCACCTACGTAAAACTTTGCCACAATTTCCACAGCGTATCAAGAAGAAACTATCATCCAGTGATACCACTGCTGGCGTCTACTGATACCCTGTGGAAATCGTGACAATTTTACACTGGTGAAGCTTCTAGGGACCTGAAGATGAGGCTGAGTGAACACGGAAGTGCGTACCAGAGAGAGAACATGAAAATCGCCTGTACTGTTCAGCGCAACACAGCCATCTGATGAACTTCCCTAGCACCAAATTAGTAATCAAAGAAGCAAACAGACGGAACCAACTTTGCTTTGATTATACCCACTAACACCGTCACTTAGAAATCAGGTTCATTCCTAA